AGAGAGCCGCTTAGGCACATCACTGCAGAGGGAGAAGCCTCTGCAGCCTCTCATCCTCGGCAATCACCCAATGATGACCCCTTATAGTGTACAGACCTGTAAACTTCAACCGGCCCTTCAGAACCCAAAATCCAAAACTCCAAATCCACAACCCAAAACCCAAAACCCCAAATCCAAAACCCAAAACTTAAAATCCAAAATCCTAAATCCTAAGCGTCCTCCCAGCAACCGGAAATCTAGCAAAACCAGGAGACCTTGGAATTGGCTTTCGGAAAAGGAGCAGGCTTTGAAACATCGACCAATGTCGGGCTTTTGTGGGGTTCCCTCCATATCAACGGCTCGCAGCGGCCGGAAAATCCTAAACCCAAAATCCTAAATCCGAAATCCTAATTCGTAAACCCCACATCCAAAATCCAAACCCCAAACCCAAAATCCAAAACCCAAAATCCAAAACCCAAAACCTAAACTCCTAAATGATGGTCCTAACCGGCCCCCTGCAGGCGGAAGTTTAACAAACACTGGAGGCCTGAGAAATGGCCTTCGGAACAGGAGCGGGCATTGCAAAATCTACCATTTTTAAAGCTTAACCCTAAACCCTAAACCCTAAACCGCGTCTTCCCCCTCCCATTCAAAGGCTTTTTGCAAATTCCACATTTTGCTTGAATATCCAAGGGGCATCGGAGGCCGAAAGCTTGCTACTTCGACGTTTTAACCCCGACGCGACTGCCGGCAGCGGGAGCCTCAAGCCAAAATCTTGATGTTTCGACGTATAAATTTCGAGACCACTGCCGGCAGCGGGAGCCCCACGACATTTTCGAGACCGCTGCTGGCAGCCGGTGGCTCAGGCCGAGAGCTCGCTACTTCGACGCCTAGATTCTCCAGGCCAATTGCGGCAGCGGGAGCCCCAGGCCGGAAGTTTGTTACTTCGACGTTTGCAACTTCCTGACCACTAGCGGCAGCGACATCTTTCAAACCCCAAGACCACTGCCGGCAGGTGATATTCCGACGTTTTAAGTTCTCAGACCACTCCGACATCTAAAACCTCGACACCACTGCCGGCAGCAGAAGCCCGAGGCCAAAACTTCGAGATTTCGACGTTTGCATCTTCGGGACCACTGCCGGCAGCCCATGGTTGGCCCAGTCCGAAAGCTTGCTACGTGGATTTTTCCTCCAGACCACTATCGGCAGCGGGAGCCCCAGGCCGAAACCTTGCTACTGCGACGTTTAAACCTTCCAGACCACGACCGGCAGCTTGAGCCCCAGGCCGAAAGCTTGCTACTGCGACGTTTAAACCTTCCAGACCACGACCGGCAGCTTGAGCCCCAGGCCGAAAGCTTGCTACTGCGACGTTTAAATTAAAACCTCCAGACCACTACTGGCAGTGGGAGCCCCAAACCGAAAGCTTGATACCGCCAGGAAGCCTCGAGACCACTGCCGGCAGAGGGAGCCTTATAGGCCAAAGACATGATATTTCGACATTTGAGACGTCGAGACCGCTGCCCGAAACGGGAGCCCCACCGAGATCACTACCGGCAGCGGGGGCTCCACGACGTTTAAAGCTGCGAGACCACTGCCGGCAGCGGATAGCTGGCCCAGGCCCAAGGCTTGCAACTTAAACGTGTAATACCTCAATACCTGCGGACTACTACCGGCAGCCGGAACCCCAGGCCGAAAGCTTGATACCTCGACTTTTACATCCGCGAGCCGGCACCGGCAGCCCCACACCGAGAGCTTGATACGTCGACGCTGAGACCTAAATTTCCGCGCTTAAAATCCGAAGTTGTTTCCGCAGCTGCCACTCGGTGTTCAACTGTAGTTGTCTTTCCTGAGTGGAGGCTGTGTCTGCTGCAGGTCTTGACACATCCCCGCCCGTAGGCGAGACGCCCGGCCTACCCCACATGGGTTCTCCCGTCTGCAGCGTGTAACTGTTGTCGATGTTTTGCGCTTTCATGCCCACAACACCTAGCTTGAAAAATCAAGAAGACAGCGATGTCTCATGCGTGCGCGAAATGTCGCACAAGGATTTTCCACGGCGGTTGACCGGATGGCTGGTAGCACGGTGGTTCCAAATCGCCTCCTTCTATACACAACCGCCTAAATATGTGCTATCAAACATCTGTGTGCAAATTAAGTTGCATCCTTCGGCTACAACTTGACTTCTGCGCGATGGAAAGCCAATCCGAATCTTTGCATCTGGATCAGATTGCTTGCCATTGTGTTTTGTGCGTTTGTATGATAAAGAACAACAAAGAAAAAGGATTCACGGTAATACGCAACGAACTTCGGGTGGGTCGGGCGGGCAGCAAGCAGCTGTGTGTCAGGTTTGGCACACCGTAAACCTTAAACCGTATAAACCTAAACCCTAAAAACGCTAAACCCTAAACACTAAGCCAACTCAGCGGAGGCTCCGAAGAGCGTGAACCCATCTCCCCGGACTGTCCGATCCTCGCTGAGCCGGGAAACATCGAGGTCCGGGACGGAACGGTAAATGAGTAAACTCTAAACCCTAAACGCTAAATCCTAAGCCTTGAACCCTAAACCCTATAAGCCCTAAGCCCTAAACCCTGAACCCTCAGCCCTAAACCCTGATTCGAGGGTTGGGGCTTGGAGTGGTTCGGCTGTTTAATTTGGACTGCACTGCTTTTCGGGCTTGAGTGCTTTTGGGTGAAGCAGAAACCCTTTTGCCATCATCACCATCATCATCATCATCATCAGCATCAGCATCACCATCACCATCACCATCATCATCATCACCACCACCACCATCACCATCACCCCCACCCCCACCCCCACCCCCACCCTCACCCTCACTCTCACTCTCACTCTCACTCTCACTCTCACTCTCACTCTCACTCTCACTCTGACCCTCGCTCGTGCTCTCTCTCTCTCTCTCTCTCTCTCTCTCTCTCTCTCTCTCTTCTCTCTCTTCTCTCTCTTCTCCCTCTTCTCTCTCTTCCTTCTCTCTCTCTCTCTCGCGTGTGTCTGTGTGTGTGTGTGCGTGTGTGTGTGCACGTGTGTAAAAAACCCACGAATCTAAGGAGATCCTTTGCATCATGTTTGATACGGACCCGAATGAGAAGCCAAAGTCCCTGGGTGGTCGCACTTCGGTTGCACAGTTGCGGTAGTTCGGTGTTTGTTCCATGGTGCATTAAGCGGGCCAGGTTATGTTTGTGTCCAAACCAAGGTGACGCGTTCCTTCGTGGCCTGGTGGATGAATTCAACCGATCCGTGGATGACGGTGATCGGCAGGGCACCAGAGCCTCGGCTTTCTCATTATCATTTCAGTCTTTGAAGTCTGATCACGTGTTGCACGCGGCATCCGGCCACGAATATCCGAATAACTCCACCATTGACTGAGTCAGCGGCAAGAAGTTGATTTCCGAAGCCCGGCACACGCGCGAGCAGCGCGCCTTGATCCTCGAAAAGTTGAAAGTCTACCGTTACGGAGACAGCTACTGCATCACGAACGGGGTCGAGCGACAGTACCTTCCTCATGCGCGCTCGCCTTGGTCCGAAGAAGTGTACTGGCACTGGGCGCTCGGGCCTCATTTCGGATTGAGAGTGTGGCAAACACCTGACATTCCACCTGCCAATGGCAACGCGTCAGGTCCAACAGGCCATACTGCAGCAACAGCCAGAGCACGGTCTGGGTGTCCGACTACGTGACGATCCCGGAGTTTCAGCCGTTCAATCACGATGAGCCGGATGCGAAGAAGCAGCGAACCGAGGACACCCGCCAGCGTGCAAACCGTGGTTTTGTTCAGTGTGTCCATCTCGGCTTGATGTTGATGCTTATCTTAGCTTCACTTCTGTGCATTCCCATAAGAACGGGTCTGCTGCAGGAGCCCGGTGACTCATTGCCCCCAGGCCCGAATGCGAAAGCAGCTGGGCCTGCGCAGCCACCGTCACCGCGTGCTGATTCCGATCTACTTACGTCCGTTTCCAAAGTCCTGCCGCAGAGCATTGTCATTTTCGACCCTGCCGGCAAGCCCGTCCTCGTGCCCGGTGATAATCCCAGCTGCACTCTGTACCTGCAGGAGGCGGACGATTGGGCTGTTGCTCGCCACAAGATGAACGGGAAGGAGTACATTTGTTCTGTGAGCTTGAACAAGACAGTGTATGCACTTTGGCTGCAAACCCGTTCTGAATCAGATCCGAATTTTTTGGGGCACGGGCACAGTTTGCGAGACCTACC